TACAGGCTGACAAGAGGTAAGACACTGCTGGATCTGGTACTGGCCAAAGGGAATGATCTAGTCAGCGACCTGAGAATCGAAGGGAAGCTTGGTGACAGTGATCATGAATTGTTCACTTTCTCTATCCATCACAAAGCTGGCAAATCAGTCAGCAATGCAGAAATCCTTGTCTTTAGGAAAGCTGACTTTCACAAGCTCAGGAGGTTGGTTGTTGAGGCCCTGAGAGACCATAATCTGACAGGGAGAGGAGTCCACAGTAAGTGGTCACTCCTTAAAGATGTGATCCTAAAAGCACAAGGGAAGTCCATTCCGGCCCATAGGTAAGGTAGCAAAAGAGCTGAGAGACCCCATTGGCTCAATAGGGAACTCATGGACCTCCTGAATCTGAAAAGAGAAGCTTATAAGGGATGGAAGCTGGGAACTACCACAAAAGAGGATTATGCGGCACTGGCCCGCGCCTGTAGGGAGAAGACCAGAATAGCCAAGGCTAACGCCGAACTCAAACGGGCTATGGGAATCAAGGACAATAAAAAGTCCTTCTTCAAATATGTGAGAAGTTGGGGAAAAAAACAAAGGCAACATTGGACCCTTGCTGAACCAAATGGGGCAGCTGACAACTGACACCCAGGAAAAAGCTAACCTCTTCAACAATTACTTTGCATCAGTTTTCCACCAGCCCAAGGGGATCACCCTGCCTGACAGGACAGAATACTAGCAGGGTAAGGGCAATCATACACCTATAATTGGTGATGATCTGGTGAAGGAACAGCTTGAGAGGCTGGAGATCCACAAGTCAGCTGGCCCAGACGGAATGCACCCAAGAATGCTAAAGGAGTTGGCTGACATAGCCTGAACAATGGTGAGGATATGTGAGGACTTATAGCACTCGAGAGAGGTTCCTGAAGATACAAAGAAGGTCAATGTGGTACCTATCTTCAAGAAAGGAAGGAAGAAAGATCCAGGGAACTACAAATCAATCAGTTTGACCTCAATACCTGGAAAGATCTTGGAAAAAATCAAAGAAACCATCAACAACGGGCTAACAGAAGGCAATGTTCTGAGAGCGAGCCAGCATGGCTTTGTTGCGGGTAGGTCTTGCCTGACCAACCTCATTTCCTTCTATGACCAGGTGATGCATCACCTGGACAAAGGAGAAGAGGTTGATGTCATATATTTAGATTTCAAAAAAGCCTTTGACTTGGTCTCCCATGATGTCCTCGTGGTAAAATTGGGGAACTGTGGCCTCAACAACCTTATGGTCCAATGGCTGGGGAACTGACTCCGTGGTCAGACCCAGAGAGTGATAGTTGATGGAGTCAATTCAATATGGCGTGTGGTGACCTGTGGTATTTCCCAGCACTCAGTACTCGGACCAGTACTCTTTAATATATTCATAAATTATCTGGATTTAGGTGTCAGAAGCAGAATGGCTAAATTCATGGATGACACCAAATTATGGGGAAGTGCGGTCAATCTAAAAGATAGGCTGGCAATTCAAGCTGACCTGGACATGCCTGCAAGGTGGGCAGATCAAAACCTGATGACATTCAACACAGAGAAATGCAAGGTGCTCCACCTCAGGAGAAAAACCCCACATCATACTTACAGGCTCAGCAGTGCTACATTCACTAACACCACGGCCAGAAGAGACTTGGGGGTCATAAATGACCACAAAATGAACGTGAGCTACCAATGTGATGCCACAGTTGGCAAAGCTAATAACACTTTGGCTTGTTTCTACCAATGCATCTCAAGCAAGACCCAAGAAGTCATCCTCCAGCTTTACTCAGCCTTGGTAAGGCTGCAGTCAGAGTACTGCATCCAATTCTGGGCTCCGCACTTTAGAAAGGATGTGGAGAAGCTTGAGAGAGTCCAGAGGAGAGCCATGTGCATGATTAGAAGTCAAGAGAACAGGCCTTATGAGGAGAGGCTGTGGGGCATGGGACTCTTCAGCCTGGAGAAGAGTAGGCTCAGGGGTGACTTGGTGGCAGCCTATAAGTATATAAGGGATGTGCATCAGGAACTGGGAGAACATCTGTTCACCGAGGCACCCTAAGGGAAGACAAGGCCTAACAGCCAAAAACTGCTGGAAGACCGCTTTACTCTGGACCTAAGGAAAAACTTCTTTACCATCCGAGTCTCCAGAGTTTGGAATAGAGTCCCCCCAGAAGTGGCGCAAGCACCTACTCTGGATACCTTTAAGAAATGCTTGGATGTTTATCTTGCTGGGGTGATCTGACCCCAGCTGACTTCCTGCCCCTTGGGCAGGGGACTGAACCTGATGATCTCATGAGGTCCCTTCTAGCCCTAATGTCTATCAAATCTATTACATCTATATGCAGCTAGTACAGAATATTTTCCATTACAGTTTTATCAGCCTTTGAGGCAAGATCCAGATTACTATGAAGTGCAGAGTGGCAAAGCCTATGGGGGAACCTGTGCATACAGGGGCTTCCTCTGGTTCAGGGAGCATGCACCTTCTATCACCACTCTATGCACAATGCAGCCCTTCCCTCTCTTTAGTCTTATGAAGGACCATAGCTTCATTTCCACACCCTTTTCAGGTCATCATGGAACCCTAGGAAAGTAGCACAGGGGTTCTCATTCCATTTGGGCCTAACACAGACCATACAAAAGGGTTCCAGAGAACTGTCTGTCACCTCCTCCCTCATTTGGCAGCTGGTGAGAAAACGTCAGGCACAACCTTGTCCTTAATAGTTACAACAGATAGGTACTTCATCCAAAATATGCATATGCTTTGCCAGAATTTGGGATAAAGCAGACCAAAGCCTCTATGTTGGCATCCTCTTTAATCATACAAACTTTTGTGGGACTCTCCTGAAGAATCAGCTGTATTGAACCCAAAAAAGAAAGACTGACAGATCTCTTGCTAGGAATTAAAGGAAATTCCAGCAATGGAGTGATTAAGAAACAAATATTTTTTTACCTAGCATACATCATCTACAAAGATCACAGCATAGTCTAAACTACACAGCACATCCTCCTTTGACAGTTCTTCTGGCCCACACCTGTTGTCTGTGCTATGCTTGTAGTTGCTCTGAAACTAAGTATTGTTACACATTACACGTATCACATGCTCACTGGTCTTACAATGCTAGGATGTCTATCTATATACGTGCTCTGGGGTGAAGGGGGGGAAGGCACTTTTATTAGAGCAGCTCTGAGAGCCACTCTAATTAAAGTGCCTACAGCATCATGTGTATTCAATGTCCCACACTTCAAAATGGCAACAGGGGTGTTTGAACTAAAGTTAATTTGATAAGCTTTAGTTCAAGCACCCCTGCTGCCATTTTGAAGCACAGGGATGCTGAATAGACATGACACAGAGACTGCTGGAGTGCGTTAACACACTCTGGCAGACTCAATCAAGTCTGCTGCAACATATGCTAATTAGCGTGCGTTGGAGCAGACATCCGGCACGTGGTGCCCCTAGTGTCTGAGTGATCAAGCAGTGAAGCATGTGCTAAGAGTCATTGTAGCATAGTAAAATGAGGCCTTTTCCATCAAGGAGTATTTTCAGATTATTACCTAACATGTGTTGACCTAATGTTGGACTGTTCCATGAAAGTAATTCTGTCAAGGACTCTGGTCTGCTGTGTGGGTGGGAGCCCAGCAAAGCTGTTTGTTGGAGTCTCAGCCACCTTACCACACCAGAGACTTGAACCAGCAAGGCTCCAGCAAGGTACGGGGGAGGAGGTGGGAGCTTAACCAATAGGTCCCATACCACACCAGAGCCTTGTACTGGCTGCTGTGTGGTTCTGGCGCTGGGACCAACTGCTGGTATTGGGCCTTGCTGGTATTGCTTCCAAACCATCACCTGATTTTTGGTTTCAGCCTTGGGATTACACTGGAGCTGGTTCCAGACTGGTGTGGTATTACAATTTATATTTAGAGTGTAGTAAGCATTAACGTGTGACTGCTCGGAAAACTTTCTAAGTTGTCTTAATGTTTACTATGGTCTAAATATAATGTGTTAAGTGCAACATGTAACAATACCCTGACTAGCTTCTCTCCAAGTCTAGGTTGGTGTTAGAGGCAAGACCCTCTGAGTACCGTAATAGTGTAACCAGCCTTAATAAAGTGTAAGCAGCTGAGCAGAGGCTCAGAATTTAATGGGTGGGTGGAGATGTTTTCATAGCATTCATGCTCCATACAAATGTAATATTGACACCTGGGCACTTCAGTTGACTGATCTTCATTTACCTATGCTTGAGGTAAGCAAATTGTTAGGCACCAAACTTCAGAGTTTCTGGTTAAACCAGGAAAAGAGTCCAGATCTCCTCAGCTGTAGTCCACTGTCCTAAGCAGAAGCCAATCCCTCTTTCCTCCAAAAGAATGTATGCTCTTCAGTGTACCTTAGTGTCTTATTTGGGGAGCTCCTTGGCTGTAGATTGTTTGGGTGTATTACAGAAGTTCTCTTCTCTTTTTTTTTTTGTTTTGGGTGCACCAGCACATATTTGAAGGAAACATGTAGGTGTGAAACATTATGTTTCCCATTGAACTTCACTAGCAAGTGCACAGTACAGTAGTTTAGAGATTAAAAATAGGATCATTTTGATGCGTGAATCTGAATATGATTTATGGATCACTTCCAAAGACATTAAGCTGCACCCACAATTATTCAAAGGTGCAGTTAGAGTCACTTAAATGTTCTTTACCAGAACCACATATCTGGCAAAATAAAGCTGACTTCCTGTAGGATTGCAGAGGCACCAAGAAGAAGAAAAAAAGCCTGACTCAAGACCACTGATTCTCCCCAGTTCATTTTTTAAGAACATTGAGGTATCTCCACTGTTGTAATTGAGACAAGAATCACACCATGTATTTTTTATCTCCATTATCAAGAGAACCAGGCAAACAAACACAAATATATACACATATCGGGCCAGACCATCATACGGCATTTAAGCAGTGTTTTTTCATATCACCTACAGTTTATCATAGCAATTAATGATGTGGACACAATCAAGTACCTTTGTGTATGTGGACTTCCAGCTGCTCTTGCAAAGAACCTGGCAAAAGTCTCCTCATAGTCCCTCCATAAGTACTTTATGAATGTTTTGTTGCTTATAATATTTTGATGTGTTAAGTAACTGGTAGTCCTGTGTACACAGCACATAATAAATTTAAATTCTGAGGTTAAAAAAGAGCCATTTTTCGTTATTTCAATTATTTTGTAAAATCATTTTGATAACTATCACTGATTAAAAATCATTATCCTCATTTATTATTTACTGAAAATGGACAATTGTGGAAAATGTCAATTTCCCTATTTTATTTTTCCTACTTTTCTATTTTCACATATTCGGTAAGTGAATTATTTTGAAAAAACATGTTTGTAAACATTTTCAGTGAAAAATGTCACAAAAGTTACCAAAACACAAGTCCTCAAAAGTCAAAACCTGGCTAATGAGGAAATTAGACAATTTGAAAGGCAATGGGTATAGGGGGGAAGGGGCGAATAACCTTTTGTTCAAAAACGTTGCCAACTTCTCCCCAATTGTTTTTATACAACTCTGTGCACCTTTGTACAGTTTGGCAAATATTTATAAGTGAGTACAGGGCCTGTAAGTCTATATGTTGAGGTGATAATATAAGAGTGACAAATATTAATAGGCCCAATTCTTTATTACCACAGTGTTCCAAGGGTGCAACTAATTTAAAGAGTGTTGTAGGACTGGAATAGGAGTGCCACAGTGGCAAACCTCCACCAAATATTTATCTCAAATAAACAGTATTACAGATAAAAGTGGTCACTGTAATACTGTCTATATGATGTCTGTCTCTCACTCTAGCTTTCTCAAGGGCAATCATATGTTCCTTGCTCTGGATCACATCCTGTTCTTCTGCCTCCTTTTCGCACCCCACCTAGCAATATAAGGTTCAAACATGCATCAAAAAGATAGTGCTTCTGGTCAAGGGAGAAAAGGCATAACTGTCTATGTAAGGAGACAAAGTAACCTCCTGAGTTCTGGAAAACAGGCTCAGTGGCACCTATCTGCTTAGAAATAAAGAATAAGGGAAGGGCCATTGAAAGTATGGCATGAGTTTGACCAAGGGATTTGAAAAGGAGGCAGCTTTTGATCTCCTATATCTCCTGTATCTTACTGTAATGACCACTGCATACAAGCTGCTGTAATTTGGGACGTGTTCCTTCTCAGTTCTGAGAAAAGAAGAAAAGAAAGGAGGCTACTGTGCTAACTGAAGATTAATCTGAGTAAAGATTGAAGGATTTGGCCAACAGAATGTGAACAGGCATGTGGAAGAGTGTTTTACATACAGACTTCAAAGATGTCAAAGGACAGGGGACCGTCAGAGAACAAAAAAAAAAAAAAAAAAGGAAATACAGTATGGAAAGTCCTAGTTAGCTCAATTAATTATCCACTGGCCATTTACTTAGGGGACCTAGTTACAAATATATCCTTATCACGATGACAGGAAATCTATCTGAAAAGTCTGCAAAAGGCTATTAATGAACAGAGTTTCTAATGCCTGCAAGCTGAAATACCTTTTCACTCCTTTTGCCAGCAGTTCCTGTGGGTCATCTCTGGGGTCATTGGTGGTGCTCAAGCAAAGACCCTGCCAGTGCACAAGAAAAAAAAATAGAGTACTTCAGTATTGTCAATCCTTTATCCTTGAATGGTACACTAGAGGCTGACATTTAATACCCTAAGGATATAGATGTTTGAAAGCTGGTTATTGTAACAAAGAAAGCCATCCAAACTCTGCAAGACCGAATGGATCAGATAAAACTGACACTGAGATAAATCTGTTTTACATCCATTCTTGCAAAAGTTTTGCTAATCTACGTAGTTATAACTCTCCTAGAGCAAAAGGAGAAAAAAAAAACGCATTACAGCAAGTCAACATCTTGCCCCTATTTGTAATCTCCGAAGTATAACATGCTAGTCAAAGATCATTTTTCTCTTGGATCTTGGATGAACTCCATTAAATACAGAAAGATAAAGGAAGAAATTGAAAGAGAGTATGAGCAAGAACATGCATGATATTTTTGGTTGAACCTCCATGCTGAAGTAGATTTTGTTTGTTTGTTGAATGCATGAATTTCTCTCTTTCACAGAGACAGACTCATCCTCCAACCAGTCAGAAACTTTAGCACCTAGTCTTCATTAGTCAGTATTTATGCTGCCAGATTGGACTTTCATATGGAAGCCTGGAGCAGTGCTGGTACAGATGGCAAGACAACTCTCATGAGATTGATGATTCTAAAGAAATATACAGTATTAAGTCAGAAGGTGCAAATGTTAACATTCCAGCTTAGAAAAGAAATATTCCTTGCATACACTTTCCAGGTTTGTTTTCTCATGCATTGCAAAGAGAAAGAAAAAAGCCCTTGACACACCTCGGAGCTGGCAAATGAATGATAAATTTACTTTAGCTTCTTTTGTATGTCAACTGTTCATGCCTCAGGTAGTTAACCTTTACTTTAAAAACATGGCTCAGATCCTGGCCTTGGAGGTGGGGGGGAAATGGTATTCTTGTAAATGTTTCATTTAACAAAGGCACTACTATAAGAAGGTTCAGTGGTGAGACTCTGAATGGTATTTATTGTTTCAGATTTCAGGGCTTCTATACATCTGTTGCCTGTCAAAGGCAGATACCATGTTCATAAAAACAAGTGCCCTGTCTGAAAAGAAGCCTCTCCTCTGTGACTCAACCTCTAGGAGTATGCAAGATGTAAGCTGTGGGAAATAAATGCTCTTTTAGTTGTAAATATGGTAACTTGAAATTTCCTTTATTACAAGAAAGAATGGATTTTGTTTAGTCCCCGATTCAACAAGGTGCTTAAATAGCAGTTTAAAGTTATCACTATTCAGAAAAGCACTTAAACACATGCTTGCATCCATCCTTATTCAGGAAAGCACTTAAGACCATGCTTATTGCTTGGCTGAATCTGGGCCTTGAGGTGTAGAAGTTTTCCATTTGCAATTACACGGCCAGCATACAAGTCCATCTTACAGGACCTATTTCGTGTTTTCTGACTTTATTAGGCCTGGAATGTGTATTTCACTCATGGTGAGGAACACGCTCATTCATTTCTTATGATATCATGATCTTCTCCATGGTAATCTAGTGCTATGTGAAGAAAAACAATGGGAGAAAAAACTTTTCATGCCGAGATGAAGATGGATAAGGAATTATGTTCACCCGGGTGGGAAAATATATAAGGAGAACAAAAACACACACAACCCCTGATTCTGAGAATCTGATTTATTTATTATTTGGCATTGCCCATTAAGCGTGGGCAGTGAAAAAGGAGTTGACCTTAATGCCTCCTGAGTGGCAATCAGAAATTCATTTTAGTGTGTGAGTATTAAATTAGCTTCGCTGAGTTTACAAGAACTTCAGTCATTTTAAGACACTCCAGACAACTACAGCACTGGAACGCCTACCATTTAGGAAGAATGCCTAGAGAGTTTTAGTTGAAGGGAGATTCCTATGTTTTTGTATTGGTTTGGTATGTCCTCGCCATTTTCTCCACTAGAAATATACACACCCAGGGATGCAGCTAATCCGAACAAGGGGTTAATCAGTAAGTTACAGCAAGGGCTCAAGGAACTTTTAAGGTTGTTCTGTATCTAGGAAAAGTCAAATAGAACCATAAAATTTTTTAAGTTGGTCTATTCATTATACAGTACATTCATTACACTACATTAGAGCTTTTCTGAGAACCTTCACCTTGCCCAGTTTCAACAGAACCTGAAATATACTTCCTGCATGCATTTATTGCATGCATACACTAAATATATGTGGGAATGGGGTTTAAGTACCAAGAGGCAATTATCAATTTTAGTGTGGTTTCATGAGGTTTATATATCAAGCTCCTCTCCCTGGCAAGTATGAGGAACTGCTAAATACAGTTAATTTCTGGGTTGATCTTATTTATACACTGGACACTAATCCCCTTCATATATCTCATGTGCTTCTTTCTTCTCAGAGATACTGTCCCTCAGTGACCTTCTTGTGGCATTTCATTAAATGCCTTCAGCCCTCAGTAAATTACAGCACTTTAAAAACATTGAGTTTAGCATATAAAAAGCTAGAGAGTTTCTGTATACTGCCATGGGATAAGGTGCGGTGAAAATCCCATACAAGCTGAACTGTACTTCCTAATCAAATGGGTGTAACAGATGGCTGCTAGAGCAAGCCATCACAATGGAAATATCTGCAGTTCTCATGGTAACGGAATCTGCCAGGTCTGAGGGATTTGCTGTTTTCCAGGACATCTGAGCTGCAATCTCTTTCGAGCTGTCTAGCAGTCTCAGTCTCGCTCTCTCTCACTCTCTCAGCATGATGGAGATAGAGTTGAAAGGTGGAGCCTGATTTTGCATTCCAGCTGTGATTAAAGACATGCACATGCACACACACATACAGAATCAATAGCACTGCATATTCATTATGCTATCTAGAACCTCATTAGCCGTTCAGGCAGAACAGCAAGAAAATTATAATATGCCTTCTTCTTCAGGGGGAAAAATAAGGGGGGGAAGGGGAGAGAGAGAGAAAGAAGGAGAGCATGTATATGGGGAATTAAGATGCATGAGATGTACCTTTTAATAAAGATATGTAGCAATATTAAAACTAGCAGTTGTTTCCATTTCATGGCAGTATGTCAAGATGACTTAACATAGCAGGATGAAACATCTGGCCTGAAAAAAAACCCATGATGTCAAATTTCCAAAACATAATATAGAATCTATGGAAGAAGAGGAAAAAAAAAACCCCTCCATAGATTAGCAACCATGTACCATAATACTAAGTGAAAGCATGTGACAGATCTCCTTATATTGTGTAATTAGAAAGGTGATCCTTCTCATAAGGCGTAGGTTAGCATATAGACACTGAGCTTTAATTATAAATCTAAAGGACTGGGTTTAAACCCATAGGACTCTGTTAAAAGGTTCTTATATTTCTGCATGCTATTCAGAACTGTCTTATTTTACAGCAGGAAGAAAATAATCATTCATGATCCTGTTTTATTAAAGTCTTTTCCTTCAAATCCCTATCAATTTAAAGAAATAAGGAGAAGTATGCTGCCTTCCTTGCTATAGTACCTGCTAGAAAGCACACAGAGGGTTGATTCACAGCTGCCTATTCTCTTGGGTATTTGAGCCTGAAGATCAGACAACATATAAGAATTCAGCCGTGGCTCAAAATGGAAACAAAGAGGACCATTCTTAAGCAATGTGAAATGAAAAACTGCGGGCTATAGACAGTAGCCCCCTAGCATGCTGATCCACCACATTGTCCTTGAGGGCACTACTGTTAAATACATATGACAGCCAAGAGGGGAAGAATGCTTTCCAGAATAAAATGATTGGGTCTCCTTTTTCATGATGTAGAATAAGCAAGGTAATGTAAGCCACTAAAGTACCACTCAAGAACTGGTTCTATAAGATGGTATTGTCTACCCATCGTGCAGCATTGGAGAACATATTACATGACCTTTTCTAAAGCTTGTACTGCTTTTTACTTCAACTCTTTTCCATTGCAATAACATCAGTAATGATTTCTGGGCAACAAATTAAATTCTTAAGTTGGGTAGGTTCGTTTCACAGAGATGTATGGAGTGCATTGACAATAGCTCCAACAGAGCATATTACTCTTTCAGAGATCTCCACCCTCAAAAACTTTCTAGAAATGTCAATAAAAAATACCTACAATAATGGCAGCAATATGAATGTATGTCGAAATTTGCAACCCAAAAAGAATCCAATGCAACCCACAAAGTTAAGGACAAATTTTGTCACACTTGATCCACAAAGAGCTGCTTTGAATTAACCTTACTACTAGAGTAAGGTAGAGTACAGCACAACATGAGGTGGGTCTGGCAGGATCTGGTCCTTAACTACATACATGTATAGGCTCTGCCATCCTCAAGTAAGTTTAACAGAATATGGACTCCTTCATCCATCTACAAAATGCAGCCAGCTCTGGAGTGAAACATGCTTGCTGTTTATCAGGTTCCAGAAGCACAGCACAGCAGTTCAGAGGAAACAGTAAAAAAACTGAAATTATTCGGCTGTCACTGCAGAAATATTCCAATCCTTTATTGAAATGTGACAGCAGTGAAGCCTATCAATAGAAACTGACCAGGGAGAATAGCATCTAATCCACCCTTTAACAAAAAGGGATCTCCATGCTGCACTCAAATGCAACCATCAACTGGTTATCTTGTGTAGTATCTACAATTTTCTGTGGGTTCAATTTAAGCTGTTGATACCAGGAGAAACAGCTATATTTCTGTGTTTCATGCAGCACCAAGCACACACAGAACATTCAGCAAATGCAAACTGCAATAAAGTTGTTCAGATAGAATTAGTTATTCAGGCCGAAACACATCTGGGACAGTAACACTAACCTTCCTACTTGTGTGGGAAGAATCTCAACTCTTTAATGACACAAGTGACCAGGAACCAATCTGTACCTCTTACCTGGAAAAGCAATTATCTCCAGCAACAGTGACCTAATCCCAGGCCAGTTTCAGTACTGACCAGGAAAGGAGAGTCACTTCCTCAGAAAAGCTAATAATACCTCTCTCCTAATCGAAGGGAGAC